CAATTTTCAAGGCCAAATGGGGGCGCTCTGGCGAGCACCCCGACAATAAACCAAAGTTGCCTGTTAACAAAGTCTCCATTGCTCTGTGTGGGTCAAAGGCAGCCCCGGGTCTGTTGCAATTTAAGCCTTTTGCTCACATCCCTTCAGCCACTGAGAGCTCCCCACCCTACCCTTGCGTTCTGGATGAGCAAAGGGATTCAGGGGGTGGGGGGCCAGGCCCCAAATCACTGGTGAATGCAGTTTGCCAATGCAGCTAGCTACACTGCAGCGACACAGGAATGATGATGTGTTCTGTTACACTGGCTGCAGTCTCCTTTGCCAAGTGTCTCCCCTCCGAATTCCAGGGTACTTACCCTGGGATTGCACTGGTCACCACTAGGTTCCGAAAAGGCTGGGAACTCTTCCTACCCCCCTGTTTTGTGTTTACCATCCAATTCAGTCCATTGCCTCAGCGCTGTGCTGATAAGGGAATGAGATTTGATGGCCTGTCTAGGCCTTGACTCTTCTCAGATGCTCCCGTAGCACATTAAAAATGAGATTCTGAATGACTGAAAACTAAACTGGACTGTTTCTTGGGCTCAATAGAAATGTCCAAGGTGCTGATCCTGTAAAGTCCTTGTTCGGATGAGTAGATCCCTTGACTGTGGTGCTGCTAGTGAGGGGATCTGAAAGCCAAGCTGGGTTCTTCATGCCTGCTGACTTCAATGATGGGAGCAAAGATTGTGCCCTAAATCCAATCCAATGAAAAGCGGAGGGTGGGGGTGGGTGGGTGCTGAGTGGAAGAGGGGGACATTTGGGAAAGGCTCTTCCTACCTGAGACTAGTTCGGGTCGTCTCTGCCAGGACCAAGGAATTATTTCCTGTGTTGCTTCTCGTTGTTTGGCTTCTTCAGGCTTCAGAGGAGCTGCTCCCTCCCAAGCTGCCTTTGAGCTAGAAAGAGATACTACCAGACAGCTGCCTAGTGCACGGCCGAGAACTGCTGCCTCCGGGCTCGGGAGGTGGGAGCCACTGTTTCCTTTAGTCACATGCTCTAGGGCAGACTCTCTACCTGGAGTGACATTTTATGGGTGCAGGCCATTGCCCGACACCCATCCCTCGGGGTGGGTGCCAGAGCCAGAAGAAAGCTCGGCATAGGAGTGTGTGCACTGTGTGGGCTCTGCCTTGGCAGAGTTTGTGTGCTCTGCTCTCTGCAAGGCTGTGTCTTCTACACATGTTGTGTCAGCCCCTGCTGCTTTCTCAGGTTTTACTGCATTCGGAGATTATGTAATAAACTGAAACCTGCTTCAAGCTGGATGTGTGTGTGTCTCTCTCTCTCCTTTTTTTCTGGTGTGTCCGTGTATCTGCTTTTTTGTCAGGGATGCCTCTGAATCACATGGCATCGAAGCGCTGGTTAATTTCAAGAATGGAGTATGTGTAATATCAAAGTTCAGAATTCAAAGGAATTCTCTTAATGAGCACACCCTGATGGAGTGGGAAATGTGCTGACTAAGTAGTCGGGTGTGCTGATCGGAGTTCCATGCGGCAGCCATCTGCGGTACTGGTGAGCACTCCCTTTTCTCTAGGGAATCACTAGACACGGTACCAGTTAGCTAACCGAAGGGCTAATGCCTTCGGCATCTGGAGCAGAGCAGGGATGCGGCATGAAATGAACAAAGGCACGGTGGTGAATGTGATGCTTACTGCAGTTGTCTGTTCTTCCAAGAGATGCAAATTCCCCCCAGAAGTTTGCGGGAGAGACACAGCCGTCTCTCTGCCGCTGTGTGCATCTCGAAGAGCCACGTCTGAAATGTTCCAGTGTACTGGTTCACAGAAGAGTTTTGGCGTGGGTACAAATCTTTGTAAGGTAAAACAGGGTGAAGTCCAGGGAAACTCTGCTCTGCCAAATGTATACAAATGGACGTGGAGGGAAGGGGGGCAGGGAATCTGTTTTGTTTACAAATGTTTTTTTCCCCCCAAACTGCCAGCCCTGCAAACTCCCCTGGGGATCTGAAAGTAAAGCTGGGTTCTTTCTATCTTAGTGCATCACCTCCTGCAGGACAATTTTTATCACTACTGCAGCCCTGTGTACTCCAAATATACAGGGGTTCTGTTATCCAGGGGACTGCCTAAGTTCTTTGTGGCTTTGAAATCCTGCCTGATCTTTGTAGTTTCAGGCTCGGGTTCCCTATTGGCCAAAGGGAGTAGAGCGTCTTGGCTTGTCAGGTACCTGAGCGGCCTTGTGTTGAGCGATGCAAGTCGGCAGGATAGTGTGTGCTTTCTTTGGTTGTACAATGCTGGCCTTCTCTCTGCAACCTGTTAGGCAGCCAACCAGGGAGCCTGTTTTAAATTGTCTGCAAATCAAGCTTCACCGGGGGAACTGGCATGGGGTTCAAAGCACCTAGCCTTTCTCACAGCTGAACTTGGTTTCTGCCTTTGCTTTGGGTACAGCTGGGAACTGGCCCAGGCTGCATTTGAAATCCTGGGCAGTGCTCTCATAGTGGAAACAATACGACTAAGGAAACTGCTGAATGGGCCTCGCAGGACTTTCCAGCTGCAGCGAGGCCACGCTGAGCAGAGATGCATGTACCAGTACCAGACACCACCTCACTAAGCATCTCAGGTCTGGGGCTGGTCCCTAAACCACCCTAAGCTATCTTTGTTCTGCTAGGGTTTAATAGCAGCAGGAGGGCCCTGACTCAACTCCCAGCTTGCAGTTAGGAAACCATGCAAGGGTCTGAGAGCTGAAACTTGCCCTCTGAATAGCAGGGCAGCTTGGGAGGAACATACAGGCACAGAGCCTGACCCCATCCCCATTGCAACACACAAGTAACTTCTCGCTGTTCCTTAATGCCCCTGGGCCAAGCTTTGCCCCTTGCACAGAGCGCTTCTCAACGGTGAATGGCCCTTGAGGGGCTTCTCTGACTGTCCCAGCAAAGGGGAAAGGCTCAAGGGAGCCAGCCATCTCCTGGCCTATACCCTCACTCCTCCTTGTACTTCTAGCAAGAGGGCAAGAGCCGCACTGAAAAGCTCCCGTCACTGTTCTAGTTGGAACTCTCCTTCCCATCTTCACACAATATTCTATCTGAGATTGTCTGAAATATGTGTCTAGGGCATGAGTATTGCTGCGTGCCCCAAAACCTGGCCTGCAGTAATGAGAAGAAGGCCTCATTCTGCCACTGCCCTGCACAGTCACCTCAGCGCCATCATCATGGCTCCAAGTAGAAGAGATGCTTCTAGGCTCCTAATCGGCATTCAGCACCTGTCAGAACAGGAACAGTCCTGCTCCTTATAGTTTAGGGAGCCTGCTTCCCCTCTCACGTCTGCGTCAGGCGGGAGTCAGCCAGTAGAGTTGTACTGGTTTCCAAGTTGTGAAATTGACACATGAGGCCAGATTTGGCCGTGGGACAAGCAAGATCAACTCTTCTGACATGAGTAGAACTCAGTCCCTTGACACTAGGACTGTATGTGGCTCAGTGCGTTTAGAAGAAACGGTTCATGTTCTAGAAAAGGGATGTGTGTTATAATAGTCTGTGGCTGGGCTGGAGTGCTTCTTAGGTTAGGGCTGCCAATGCTTTACAAACAGCAATTAAACCTCCCAACACCCTTGCCAGGTGAGTGATTGCTGGATCCATTTTATAGGTGAGCATGCTGAGGCAGAGACCCCCTCAAGGCCATGTCCACAGCAAGAGCAAAGCAGAGATTAAAACTGACATCTCCTGACTTCCAGTCCAGTACTTTAGCCTCTGAACAACTGTCTCCTGTCAGTCACCATGTTACTGGTAAGAGGTTTCTGTGCAGTTGGGCTCTTTGCTCTCTTGTTTACTTGCACCACTGCTCTCTACAGGATGGAATAATTCAGACCTTCCTCTTCGTTGCCTTCCAGGATACAATCCCCTATTCTGTAGGTATGGCCAGCCATTCCTTGTTCCTAGATCTAGAACTTCGCATTTGCCTGTATTAAAACACATTTTGGCTGAATGGGGCTGGCTTACCAAGTGACCCAGATTGCTTTGTAT